ACAGTGGCTAGCTAACTCTATCATACGTTAGCACGTAGTCAATTTTATTCAATCGGTTAATGGGTATCACAGCTCTAGTCAGTGTGATGATAGTTTGCCTTCATCTACCACTGTGAGAGTGCACTACAAGGCTGCTTCATTGCGACGCTGAAAGGACGATCAGAGTCTGGCAGCGCCAGTATTGGTGCATGCAAGATGCTGTCTTTGACCCCGATAAAGGCTTGCAGATGCTTAGTGTTCCAACATCATTCCGCATCCTTTTAAGGAGATTGGATAATGGCCGGGCCATTTCTGCGTAATTAACACTTTACCTGTGCAAGTAGTTGGCGAGACCAAGTCACTTACGCAAGTCCTTCTGGTTATTGGCCAGTCTACAGTGGCCTTAACCTTAGCAGGATCAGCTCGAAGGCCACGCTTCCTAACGAAGCACCGTAAAAAGGGAATCTCTTCTGCGCCAAATATGCACTTGTCTGCATTGGCGTACAGTTTGTTCGTGCGCATTCACTTGAGCACCTCTCTTAAATAGACGATGGAGTTCTCCTCATCCGTCCTTCCGTGCTCCGCACGACTGTGCACGAAAATGTCGTCAAAGTACGTCTATGCATACGCCCTGTGGGGCCTGAACAACTGTGTGATTAAATGTTGCTGGTGCATTTGACAGCTCTTGGGGCATCACCAGCCACTCCCACAACATGTCGCTCGGAGTGCTAACCGCTGTCAGCGGAATATCACTCGCTCTCATGAGCAATTGGTAATACCCATCGACCAAGTCGAGTACACTGTACTTCGTACATCCCACCATGTTGTTCTGTCATCCCATGTGGAAAAGGAGTGTCAGACTCGTAGTCGACCGCCATCACATCCTCAACGAGGTTACTCGTCACTACTAGCGTGCGCAAAGCGCGACGCTCGTGCTCATCGAGCCTAGGATGTACATCCTTCGGTGCCGCGGACGCACTATCCGACATTGCACCGCGTGCGGGAAACGAAGTTGGGCTCTGCCCGCGATCGCTGTCAGAACCGGCGAGACTTGGTGACTTCCGTGTTGTGGACACAGGGCTCATTGAGCAAGGAAGTTGTTTTATTCCAACGAATTAAAATGCAGTGTCTAGCGGACACGCGAGCCTCGTTGAGGCATTTATCGATTGGAACTGTAAATGTTCTCATTTTTAATGGGGGGGATGTAACGGGGTGACACGTACCCTGTTAACAGGGGTGTGTGTCACACGAGATGTACATGGTGTGATTGCACTAAAACAAGAATACGGTATGTGGCTAGGTAGCCAGTAGTTATGCATGTATTTAGATTTTACTATATGTATTTAGAATATTTAGGAAAATCTAAACTTTTAAAATTAGGATAATAAATAAATAAAACCAGTTTTAAATTCTAAACTGATAAGCCAATTAGCAATAATTACTCTCCGAGTAAGCGGATTGCGATCCGCTAACTCATGATTGTTCTAAGTATAGAACGAAAGGTCGGTGACCTTAGTTACGCTTCCTCAAAGCGCAAAGCTACGGCAGCCCCGCTGCAGTTTGACTAAAAAAAACCGCGCATATAAACGCATAGAGGTTAGGTTCGTACGCTCCACCCAAAAGCAAAATGAGATAATTTAGCTGCCTGCTATTTCAACAGTGCCATGTATGAAGTATTGATTATTTGAAGTGTTACTGTACGAACACTTTACTATATCCAATGACAATACCATTTTTACTGATTGGCGTGAAGCTTTCAGACACCGCGGTCCACCGACCCATCATCTTCCTAAGTACCGATATTGGATACACGCAATGACATGAAAGTATGTGGATACAATTGCAGTAGTACAGTACATTCCTCGTTACAGAAGGGTTCTAAAAAAAGTTACCTGCCTCTCAATTTCAAGTGGCATATTCGCCGGTATCAACTGATACTAAATACATCTGTTTTACTATGACCTATATTAAAGTAATTGTTCTGTATGTAACGTTTGAGCCTTCACTAAAAAGTGTTGTGTTTACGAACACCATGATATGGTAGGTAACACAATGTGGACAAAACAATATCATCGAGGTCGCTAATTAATCCGATAAAAACGCATGATGGAAAGGTAGAAATCCAACTTGAAATTCCCATGCCGATGCTGCTGGCGATTGTGGCATTAAACTTGCTGTCTGTAGCTTCGGGGACCGTTTCTGCATCCTCAAAGCAGTCCGCCGCTAGCATAACTTGCGACCCGTACTATGAGGAGCGCAACGAAACGACGGGCCGATGCGATTGTCGTAAGGGCTTTAGCGGCTTCGGCTGCCGTATGTGCTCTACGTCTTCCTCTGACGTCTGCAGCACTTATTTTGGATCGGAATATTCTTGTGTTATGGGGCTAAAATATGATGAGCACGCGTCACTCAAGACGTATGACTGCATGTTGTCCTCAGATCTGCAATCATTGTTTCCCGACGGTGCGCTGGACGTGCGTTGCGACCGCGACGTTCAGGGTGTGGCCACTTGCTTGGCTGCTGTTTTTGACGCCAAAGAGTCGGTCCGTAGTGTGCACGTCATTGACTGCAATATTACAGAATGCGCCTTTGCCACGGGCAGCGCCGACGGCGAGTGTGCGCAGATCGACTGCAAGTGTGGTCCACAGTGCTCAGCAATGACGAAGGCGCTGGTGGAGACTACTCTAAGCGGCAAGCCAGCCAGGATCGAGGTAAATAATATGACGCAGCTGGCAATTATCATCGAAGGATCGCCTATTCCACTGACGGCGACTTGCATAGCATCGGCGTGCGAACGCACAGGAAGTGGCGGAAGTAGCGCATCCGGTAGTGGAAGTTCCGGTGGTGGGTCCAGAGACTCAAACAGACTCTGGCTTGCCCTCGGGGCTATCACAACGCTAGTGTTAGTAATGCTACTATACGGATGTGCATGTTCGTGGTACATGACTAAGCGTATCCAGCGCGGACAGAACGAAGATGTAAATGGTGAACTTTTGAAATTTACGTCGCGATCGATTAAAATGCTCGAGTTTCACCACGTCAGTTGCTACACAGAAAGTGAAAGTCACCCACTTAAGGCACCCACCGAGCCCAAGCGAATTTTGCACAAGATCTCGGGCTGCGTAGCTCGAGGTGAGGTGCTGGCTTTGCTGGGACCAAGCGGCTCCGGCAAAACAACTCTACTGAATGCTTTAGCAGCAGTGGAAAATGGAAAATCAGTGGTTTTTGGAGAGCTTTTGCTGGATGGCAAACGTTTACCACGAGGTTACCGCCGCATTGCTGCTTATGTACAGCAAGACGATTCGCTTTACTCGACACTTACGGTTAGAGAGTGTATCTCGTACTCAGCACTGCTTCGCCTTCCCGCGTCTCTATCGGATTATGCCAAGAGTACCATCGTAGATCAGGTGATTTTTGAACTTAATCTCAGTCACGTCGCGAATTCGTGCATTGGCTCACCGGGGGGTAGTAGTGGTCGCCGTGGTGTTTCTGGTGGTGAAAGAAAGCGGGTAAGTATC